GGTGTCTTTAGGATAGTGTTACTGATTAAAGAAATTTAATTTGATTTAATTGGGGATTGGTCCTGCTTTGAGCAGGGGGTTGGACTAGATGACCTCCTGAGGCCCCTTCCAACCCTGATATTCTATGATTCTATGAACACTTGATCTGATGCCTTGTGAGAGAAGAGAATTTCTCTTACCTGTAAGTGGTATTCCTCCAATGGAATAAACTCAATCCACAACTTAATGTATTATTGTTTATCTCACACAAGAACAACCACAGGCAACCAAGGAAAGTACACGATTTTTTTCGGTGCCAATCCAGGTGTCCTCGAGCTTCTCTCAAGTACCCAGCTGTATCTGCCATATTACTTAACTAGAATACTTACAAACTACAAAGACGATGAGCATCTGATTGAAAGGTAAAGTTAGCCAACAAAGGTGCTCCACTCTGACAAGGTGCAATCAAAAAGACTTTTTATAGTATTGGCAATCAGTGAATGGGTCCAGAACTAGAAAAAAAACACTAACTAGATACTCACAAACAGTATCCAAGAATGAAAAATTACAGAGTTAAAATAATAGAAGCAAAGAATGAGAATCAACCAAAACAAACAAAAAAACCCACAAAACATGGGTCACTGTGGATTGAGCTCATTTCATCTGAGAAACACCATTTACAGGTTAGAAAAATTGTCTATTCCTTGTGTGAATAAGCTTAGTCCACAATTTAATGGGATCTTTATAACAATCTTATAACCACAACAAAAAGAGAGGTATTGGATTACTTTTCAAGCACTGAAATTAGAACTACTCTAGTGAAGACTGCTTTGGGGGAGGTATGTACATAAATGTAAGTACAAATACCAAGCTTATAGCTTCACAAATCTATTCTAAAGAAATATTTCTCAACCTGTGAGGTAACAGCACCTCTAAGCAATTCCAGACCCACAGTGAACAGGGTTTACCCTAGGCAAAGAGAAGTTACTTACCAGCAACTGTTCTTCAAAAGTCAGTCACATATGTGAACTCACACATGTATATATGCTGCCCCTTGGCGATAAGCTGCAGAACCTTCTTCAAAGCCAAGCCCAGGGAGGGTGTGTGTGCAAATACCCGTTTGTGACATTGACTTTCAAGACTATGAGAGTGTACACATACTGTCTGGAGTCAGGGTAAGATTCTTGCTACTGGACCACATGGAGAATCTTTTCCTTTTTTGGACATAGCACTTCGTAGTGGACTTCATCCTTGTCCAGAGCAAGCCTGATCAGTGACCATCACAATAGGTTATTATCCAGGCCAACAGGCAAGGTGTCCCTGGATTGATATGAAGAATTTGGCTGTTCCTCTGAGGCAGGAGGTCCATCTGGAGACAGTGCAAGTGGAAAAGGAGATTCTTTGGAGAACTTTAGGAGCTCTGTATTCCAGTGTTGTCTTGGCCATGCTAGGGCCATATGAATCACGGTTCTGTCTCTCTATCGTTGGTAACACTGGGAAGGAGTGGGATTGGAGTCATCCACTGCAATCCAGAAGAAATCATCTGACAATGACTTTCCAGTCTTTGCTTGATTACTTCACACTTTCTCTGGAGGTGAAGAGATCCATTTATGACTTCTCCTGAATATGGAGATGGTTACTCACTGTTTCAAGAATCATTCAAGTTCATAGAATCATAAAAGTGTATGACTGGAATGGACCTCAATAGTTATTCTAATCCAGTCCTCTGCACTCAAGGCAGGACTAAGTAATAACTAGATGATTCCTGATTCTGGACTTTCTCCAATTTCCACATTGTTCCTGAAGTGTGGTGCCCAGAACTGGACACAGTATTCCAGCTCAGGCCTAATCAGCACAGAGTAGAGTGGAAGAATTACTTCTCATGTCTTGCTTATAACACTCCTGCTATGATGTTTGCATTTTTTTGCAACAGTGTTACCCTGTTGACTCATATTTAGCTAGTGATCTACTATGACCCCCAGATCCCTTTCTGCAGTACTCCTTTCTAGGCAGTCATTTCCAATTTTGTATGTGTGTAACTGATTGTTCCTTCCTAAGTGGCGTACTTTGCATTTGTCCTTATTGAATTTCATCCTATTTACTTCAGACCATTTCATCTGTTTGTTCATATCATTTTTAATTTTAATCCTATCCTTCAAAGCACTTTCAACCCCTCCCAGCTTGGTATCGTCTGCAAACATTAAAAGTGTACTCTTTATGCCATTATCGAAATCTTCTTCGCTGGTTTGAGGCATCTTCTAGGATGCTTTGGTGAGAAGTGTAGCAACATGATGCTTCTCACAAGTCAGTAGGCTGACCAGCATTCAGCATCTCTCAAAGAGCAGGTGATGTACACATCTTTAATGTCTTCAGACTGTACAATTACATAGTCCAGCATGCGCTACTGTTTTTACCTAGGATGCATCCATGTTGTCTTAGCCTGTTGGAAGACAGTTTTGGTAATAGTGAGATTAAACTCGGTACACTTGGGGAGAAGCAGTTGGCCATTGGAGTTTGACCTTCCAATGCTGTGATGGCCTAGTACCTTCTTCCATGTATCTGAGTCAGCTCCCACACAAGCACTAAAATCTCCAAGGACAATGAGTTCGGCACTCCTCTGCTGAGATCTTCATAAAACACCTCCTTGATCTCAGTGTATGAGTCATTTTCAGTGCAGTCACTGATAATGGTGGCATACTGGTGTCTATGTGGAGCACTATAAGTCAGTCATTGACTCTCTTGGGGAGCGAGTCAAGCTTGTGAGCAATGTTGGACCATATGGCGAACCCTACCTCTGACTGTCTTGGAGGGCAGTGATGTCTATGTTATACCTCTTCAGTGTTTTGGCAACAAGAGCTGTCCTTCGTTCCAGTCTTTGCTCATTGTCAAGAAGAGTTCTGACATTCCATGAACCAAATTGTCAGTCTGAATCTCTGTTTTATTTTGACCACTGAGTTGAATGATCAGCCAGGAGTAGTAGGTACAGAAATGGCAGGCTGTGTTTAGGATTCCTTTTCAGTTCCCTTTCCCCAGATTGGGGAGAGGAATGCTGTGCCTAAAAAAGGCCTACTCTATCACCTAAGGTGGATAAGAACTCCTTATCTACCTTGATCTATGGAGAATGACCATCACCCTAAGGCCACCTGTGTGAAGTTGTAAATAAGGATGGCCAGCAGCATCCTCTGTCTGGCCCAGTCACCACAGGACTTTGGTAAGTTTATTAGGTTAAATAAGAATGAGTTGAATGAATTGGGTGTGCACACATCTATAGTCTGGTTAAAATATGCTTGTAATACTATTGCCCTGTCATCACTCACTACTCCCCCATTTATTTCACCCATCTGTGATATCTTGTCTTAGAAAAAGATCATCAGATTTTTGGGGAAGGACTTCTGTATAGTGTCTAGAACAATTGGGCCCTGACTTGGTGGGGGCCTTTAGGTGCTACAAGCACCTTTAGGTGCTTTTACAACAGGTGAATGACATATCTCATGGTTACTTATTCCATTAAATGTGTGTGCGCATCTATTTATTACATACACACACATATTGTGAGAAGTCAATGATTTTATGAATAGAGAAAAGCACAGAGAAAGGCACAAAGTTGGGAGAGGGAGAAAAACAAATAGGGCATATAGGCTGGCATTCTTGGTAAAGCAGAGTGGGTGGGGTAATGTAAAATAAGAGAAGAGTTGAGACATAGGCAAGGGCAGAGTCTGCAGGGTCATAGAATCATAGAATATCAGGGTTGGAAGGGACCCCAGAAGGTCATCTAGTCCAACCCCCTGCTCAAAGCAGGACCAATTCCCAGTTAAATCTTGAATGACACACTAAGAAGTTTGAATTTGATATTGTGAACAAGGCACATCCACTGGAAACATTCAGAGACGGGGATGATGTGGTCCATTTGACAGGCATGGAAGATAATTTTAGCTGCAGGATTTTGGAAAGACTAGAGTACGACAGATATGGGTTTCAGGAAGACTTAAGTGGACGACAACTTAGTAATCAAGGCAAAAAGTTATTGGGGTGGGGACAAGCAGTCTAGCTGCTGAGACAGGCAAAGTGATATGGTTTTTAATATGTTGAGGAAAAATTGGGAAGATTTGATCATACCTAGGAAGCAACAAGAAAAGATGAGGGAGAAATTGATTACCCAAGATTCTGCCCCCCCCACCCCCCCGCAAAAAAAGAAGGGTTTGGGTTAAGTCCTTGGTGAACCACTGAGTCCACAGAAGATGACTGTCTCAAAAGTGGAAATTGTGATCTCCGAGACTGGAGTATGTTATGCCTCACAGAATGTGCTGACATATCTAGCATGGCAATCAAAGACCAGGTTGCACGCAGTGCCTCAACACAAGAAGTATTTTTGTTGTCCTTTTAGCCTTCTCCAGTTTTTCAAAGCCTAATCACTTCTCAGAGAAATACCTTCTTGTGTAGGTATAACTGGGAACTTGTAGCTAAGAAAAGCACTGGATGTGGATAGAGAGAGGTGTTGTTCACAGTAGGAGGCAGAAAGTGACTGGTGCACTCATGAGACACTTATCAAGGACACCTGAATTGGCACCCAAAAATCTTCCATATCATTAATTGATAATACTTGTTAAAGTGCGGCGTAAATGAAAATCCTTTAAAAGTTGTCGACTGAGCTTGTTCATTAGCAGAAATGTTTTTTTCTGCAGGTTATATTTTTTATTTTAAATCCTGTGTTGTGAATTATGTTAAAATCCAAATTAAAAATAAAAGTTTAAAATAATAGGATTGTTCTAGATTATTGCTTAATTTTCTGTGTAGTTATAGGGTCTCATTTTCAGAAAGGATGAGCAACTACAATTCACACTGAAGTCAGTGGGATCTGTGGGTGTTTAGCTCCTCTGAGAATTAGTCCCTGACTGCTCGGGGACTAACACCATACAGTGGGAACAATCAGAGAAAGCAAACACTAAGATCCAATGTCTGGAAAAGATCATATATACACTTTTCTGAACAGAAATTTCAGACATAATAAATATCTAACTTACCATTTTCAACATGTGCAAGTCTGTGCATGAGAGGTAGCCACACAAGGCACTGAGGGGGTGGATCAATCATCAATGTGTCTAAAAACATATTTAGCATTATCTTTTTCTGTAAAAGAAACAAAAACATGACTCACTTTCAAAAGAGAACTGCATTCTTTGTAATTATCTCCATCCTATACATCTGAAGAAGTGAGGTTTTTACCCACGAAAGCTTATGCTCAAATATATCTGTTAGTCTTTAAGGTGCCACTGGACTCCCTGTTGTTTTTGTGGATACAGACTAACATGGCCTGATACTTGACTCCATCCTATGGTTTCTTTAGTATTAAATTTACTGAGTACCAACAATGTATTACATATTGTAAAGGACAGATACAATCACTCTTCCTCCCCAAGGAATTTTCAATCTTAATTGACAGTACATCACAAACAAGATAGTACATACTACACACACAATTTATCAATAAATACAGAACACAAAGGTAAATTCAAAGGGGGTGAGTATGTAGTTAGTACTTTGCGAGTTACACTGAAAGGGTTTACAAAAAAGCGCTTTAAAAGAGGGATTCAAATTCAAAGAGGGAAGATTGTTTAGTGAACTAAGGGAGGATGTTCCAAGCACATGGTACAATACTGAAAAAAGTACAAAGACAAGAAAAGGAGGAATCAAAAGGAGTGTTTAGGCATTAGCCATATGGCAAACAAGGAAAAGAGAAGAAATGAGAACAAACAGGTAAAGGCAGAATTGTACTAAAATTTGAAAAAGTGGGCAAGGAAACGGATTTTAAATTAAGAGATTTAGGGAAGGAAATGAGTGAAATTAATTTTCAAGCACAGAACAGTCTCTCCGGACCTAGACCCATGCTTCTCATGATCTCAGACAAATTGGCAAGGAAAGAAGGAAGAATGATTGATAGAATATTGATAAAAATGCATACCGATGAGATTTGTCAGGAAGAAAAGCTAAGGAAACTATGGCTACAAGGAAAAAATATTTAACTAGATAACTTCTTAAACAGTATTCTTCCACTTTCAGAGGAGGAAACAAGACCTGTGGAAGGCCAGCCACACCCTCTACTTTTTGGGAAGCAAATTCCTTGCTCTGGCAGGTGATCTGTGGGATAAAAACCACCGTTCAGACAGCCTCTCTCTTCTTGCCTCCCTATACATTGGTGGTGCATCAAAGGGCCACCATGACAGAGATTAAAGAAGATGGTGGCAGCCCTGCATACAGCAGTGAAGCAAAAAAGGCCAAAGCCCTGTTTTCCAGGAGGAAGAAAACTGCCCACAATTCTCCAGTGCAGCAACCACCCCATGACTGAAGCACTCTTTTTGGAGAAGAATGCTATGTCCAATTCACCTATATCTTTTTGGAGTTGGGGGAGAAAGATGTATGTGTCTGCTTTCTCTTCCTAATGAGTACAAAATCATAGAAAGAAAGAGCTGGATGGGACATTGAGAGGCCATCTATTCAAGCCCCCTATGCTAAGGTAGGATGAAGTATGCCTACATCATCCCTGACAGGTGTTTGTCCACCTGTTCTTATAAACTTCCAATGACAGGGATTCCACAACCTCCCTTGGAAGCCTTTTCCAGTACTTAACAACCCTTATAGTTAGGAAGTTTTTCCTTAATATCTAACCTAAACCTCCCTTGCTACAGATTAAGCCTATTACTTCTTGTAACTACCTTCACTGGACATGAGGACAACTGATCACCATCCTCTTTGCAACACCTTTTAACATATCTGAAGACTTATCAGGTCCTTAACTCAGTTTTCTCTTCTGAAGACAATATACTCAATTTTTTTAACCTTTCCTCACAGGTCAGGATTCTAAATCTTTTATCATTTTTGTTGGACACCTCTGGACTCGCTCCAATTTGTCCACATCTTTCTTAAAGAGTGGCACACAGAACTGGACACAGTATTCCAGCTGAGATGTCGCCAGTGCCGAGGAGAGTGGGACAATTACCTCTTCTATCTCACATAAGACACTCCTGTTAATACCCCCCAGAAGATTAGCCTTTTTCACAACTGGATCACATTGTTGACTCCTATTCAACTTATGATCCATTATAACCCCAAATCCTTTTCAATAGTATTACTAACTCGTCTATTATATATTTTGTAGTTCTGCATTTGATTTTTCCGTCCTCAGTATAGTACTTTGCATGGCTCTTTATTGGATTTCATCTTGTTGATTTCAGACCAATTCTCCAATTTGTCAAGATTGTTTTGAGTTCTAATCCTGTCCTTCAAAGTTTGGTGTCATTCACAAGTTTCACAGGCATACTCTCCAGTCCATAATCTAACTCATTAATGAAAATATTGAATAGTACCTGACCCGAGACAGAACCCTGCAGGATCCCACTAGATATATTCTCTTAGGTTGACAGTAAACCATTGATAATTGTTCTTTGATTATAGTCTTTCAACCAGTCTCAGGGAACTAGAGGGTAGTCACAATTACCTGTACTGATCACCATTAATGCAGGGCTTTAGGAGTGCTTGATCCTCCTCCTTTCAGTTGCTATAGGATGCCCTGTGCCTAATCATCTTACCCTGCAGCTGAAGAACTTCTCTTCAACAGCCAGGCTGCCTGCTGCTGCCATGAGAGAGTCCCAAGAGAACTCATTCTCAGTCATCACAGCAGGAACAGTCACATTCTTCTTAGGAGAGAAGACGTGCCTGGAGACCCCTAATCTCCCCCAAAAGTGTAAAAGTCCTTATTAGACTATTACTGATAATGCACAATGAACCTCTTTTTTTATACAATATGAGAAGCAGAGATACTGAGAAGTTAGTTTCTTTAAGGCATTGGTGTGAGGCCAAGAAAAATCCTTAAATATACTAAACAGACCTTCTGGTGTATAAGGAGTGTCAAGCTGTCTGGAGTGGTTCAAGAGCATGAGTGCCAAACTCAGGCAGACTATGACGAAGCAGGGCACAAAGCCCAAATTGTTTGTGAGTTCTATACTTAGATTTCACCAAGCAAGTATAAAGTGTGAACTCCTCAAGCACTGTAACAGCCTTAACATGGGAGTCCCAGACAGTCCTCTTGGGTACTCTGGACTATCTTGCCATTCAGGTAAGCTTGCCTTTGTGATAGTATCACCATAATATTCAGGTTATTCCCAGGTCAATTGCACCTTAGATCTCCCAAGACAGACACTTGCAGCCAATCCTATAAAAAAGATTTATTAACTAAGAAAAAGAAATCAGTTATTTACAGTATTAAAGCAGGTAAACATACAAACACAAATGAGTTACAATCTTAAGTTTCCAAGGGTAATAGAAGCTTCTGTAATATAGAGCTTGCGTATGTCCTTCAGGGCTAACCCAGGATAAGCACTGGGGATCTTTTGCTTATGCTTAGTAATCCCTGACCCTCAGATTCCAAGCATCATAAACATACAGTTTTTTCCTTGTTAGGGATTTTTATTCACTTCCCACAAAGATCAAGCTGATGGGATGAATCGAAATGCATGTCTCCTCTTCATGGGTGTGGGGTGAGCCTTTTGAGTTTTGGAATCTTTTGTCCTTTGGTGTTTCACAATGATTTGTCTGGTGTCTATGGGCCTTCTTTTGTTGGGCAGGAGGTAACACCTACTGTCGCAAAACTAGTATTTCAAATGTGGTAATGCTTCTCTCCTGACTAGTGGTTTACTGTTTCAGAGCAAAAACAACGAGGAGTCCGGTGGCACCTTAAGGCTAACAGATTTATTTGGGCATAAGCTTTTGTGGGTAAAAAACCCACTTCTTCAGTTTTAGAGCAAACACTCAAATATTACCTTATAACATGGGACACAGATATTAAAAGTGAGATTAATGCATGCAGCAACTTATAAGCATTTCATAAAGTCTAAACACTAAACACATTCTTATAAATCTAATACCTATTTTAACAATACTAACACACAAGTAAGTCAGACTTGTTTCCAGCTATGTATTGGTCAGTGTGCATTTGAGGCCTAGGGGCCTTGCATGAGCTGGCACCTGGTCTGCCAGCATCATAAGGAGTTCACATCTTTTACCTCTGGTTTTATCACTTACCATACATAATGTGTGAGTGTGTGTGTAGAACTATTACAGTCACAAAGAACCATCATACCAACAATGCTGAATGGCACTTGGAGAAAATAGAAGTTAATCAACAATTTCTCTGATAATTTTACATTACTGTTGGCAGTGTTTTGACTGGCAATTGAATAATTTCTTACGGTGAAGAAAAAAGTGCTGGATAGCTTGACGCTTGTCCTGAGATTCAGGAAATGAATGGTCCTTCAAGGCTTCTGATTTTGAACAGCTGTCCTGCCCTATCCTCTTCCTCATGTGTATTAAACACTGCCTGAAATTCATGTCAGCAGTTATTCAGGATGCAAGAGATCCAAACAAACAGTCAAGCCATCAGTGCAGGGATTTCTAAATCCATGCAGAGAACAGGATAACATCTGTTTCTGATAACACGCACAATGGGCTAGGCATTGCCAAACATGGACGTTTCAGTCCCCGTCCTGAGGCGCTTACAATTAAAAGACAAAAGTAAGTATTATGGTAACTGGCCATAGTACTATAATGCTGAAGTAACTAAGTGAATTGCATTTTTGGGGGGGACTGGAGGTAGGATGCACAGATTAGTGCCACAAACTCATGGTTATCAGCTAGCTACTTGCAGGTTTCTCATTAGAAGTGGGTTCTTGCAGAGAAAATTGAATGAAAGGGTAGGCCTTTAAGCAGAAATCTCCTCTTGATGGAACAAAGATGGACATGAGAAAGGACTGAAGGGTCCAGTGAATTTTGTCTGCTGCCAAAACTATCAGACCCAAGAGGCCATGGTAATGGCCTCACCCAAGATGTGGAGATTCAGCAGACAGTCAGGAGTTGTTTCCCAGGGTTTGATCACCATTACTGACAGTAGAAGGGTGAGAGATCCTGGACAGTGCAGGGGCAGGCTCCCAGACAAATGATCTCTGCCAATTCAAGACAGACAGACTGGAGAACTGTGATGGCACATGCAAGTGATTACGGGCAGACAAACTTTCTGGTTTTGATCAAGGGATCAGGGTGGATAAAAATAGATGATTTTTAAAAAACTAAAAATGGGA